TTTTTTTTTTTTTTTTCTCTCTTTTTTTTTTTTAGTAGAAGATGAAAACCTTTATTTGAAATTTGGAGCTTCTTCCACTTTAAATGCAAATAAATACGGCAGAAAGTAGGAATTTTTGATGAGTAGTCCTTGCATCTATTTATGTTGTTTCAGTTCTTTCTTTTGTGTTTTTGATAAAGGAAACTGGACAGGATGTAATCCCTATAGGTGCTGACTGTCTTACACATCTCTTCAGTGCTTTGTGTACTACAAACTCATACCAATCCATTCTGGAGGTCAAGCCATATTTTCCATGGCACAATGACTGTAGATGTATTCTCTGAAAACTGTTGACTATCAAAGTAACTAGTTTCAACTGCTACTACTTGTGGAATCCCTAAACTAAGAAGCTTTCAAGTTCTGTTTTTGCACTTATTTACAGACCTAACATAATGCAGCCATTCATTAACGTTTCAAAGGATGAGATTTGACTCTTCCATATGTGTAACCAGGGATCCAAGGTTTGTCAGATCCCTGAAGTAACTTTGAACAGTGATTATAAAAATACTCCTGCATATGCCATTCATCCAAACATTTGGCATCAAAACAGTTTTAGACAATGATGTACATCCATATGTCAAAGCATCATCACTGTATTTCAAATAATTTCTTCTACTTTGCAGCTTTTACTAATTGCAGTGCAGCTCTTAACATAGCCAATACTATGATATATCCGGGTGTTTTCTCCTACTGGTGTAATTTATTCTAGTTGGCTTATTGTTTTGAAATAGCAGTGGTTGATACAAAAAACAAGAGGATTAGTGCTGACTAGTATTAACCTAACTGCCTTTCCAGGCAATGCACTGGAAGCTCTCATATCATTGCTTTAACTGGCAACCAGGCCTAGAGAAGCTATAAAGCTACACACTCCAGAAAGCTACATGCTTAAGAAACAGCATTAGAAATAAACCAGACATTTAAAAATCTTCTACTCTTTTGTTTCTCATTCTAACGTGTTTGTTACATACCTAATAACGGCTACAAAATTCAACATTCCCCTTGAGTTCTTTTGATGAGGAAGGGGCTATTTTAGAAACAATGCCATTTGACTAAAATGATGTCAAAACATTAAGACCTTCATATTTTAAAACCCATTTTAATGTTTACATCTAACCCTCAGCATCTGGTTACTCTTTCCACAGAATTTTAACTGCTCGTGATCAGTATTCATACTCAGTTGTTTGCAACTTTTGTATCTAAAAATCAGATACTGCCATTCTCATGGACTTTCTTCAAAATGCCAGGAATTAAGTTTTGCGATCGTCCTTCTTAGCTCACTTGGAAATATCCTGGCTTTACTCATTATAATAGATGCAACTGTCAGTGACTGTAATGATGCACTTGAGCAAGAGACAAGTTTTGGAGCACAATGACTTTAAAGTCTCTCCCAGACAAATAAACAGTCATCAAAAAAGGAATAATTCTAACTGAACAGGAAAATAGTTTTTTTTAGCCAGTTGGACATTACCAACAGTGTGACACACAGCACATAGCCAATACTTAACCTTCAGGATGCTTCCAAAATTTATGTGATTTAAAGATATCATTAAGTGAAGAACACAACAGAACAGATTTAGTGGGCCAGAGTGTGAGTCCATCCAACCCAATACCCTGTCTCCAGCAGCAGGCATGAAGAGTAAAGAGTAACTGCAGGGCATGCGTGTAGGAATATTTTCCAGAACAGTTTCCAGCCATTCTTGACTCATGATCTAGGGATTTATTGCAGCTAGACACAATGCTGTTGTATTTAGTAGTGCTTAACAGATTTTTCTTTCTTAAGTTTGTTCAGCTGCTTTTTCAACCCATGTATGCATTCACAGTGATTTGCAGGGAGGACTTTCTCAGTTTAAAACCAAAAAATTTTTTAAAAAATCTGTATATTTTTCCTGTGGGTTAGATCCAGCTCACAGGCCATCAGAAGAACTACATTGTCCTGAATGCTTAGGTAGGTGTAATTTATTGTACTGGGAATCATCTTATTCCTCTCAGATCAAAGAAGCACAGCCCAATACAGATAGCTTCTTTTAATTAAAACATCCCTCCAATTCCTATTACCTATAAACAGACCCTGTTATTGTTTCAATTTTCATGGGATATTTTTAATGATTACATGACAAGAAACAAAGTTGGTAAAAAAAAAAAAAACAAACCTAAAATCATATAAAAATAAAACCTCCCCAAACAAGTGCAATGAATACTGCAAGACATGACTACTCACCCATAGCTTCCTTGTACCTCCTTGCTGACCTGTTGGAAGCTCTAAATGGAGATCACCTCCACTGGAATACATTTCTACCACCTGAGGTTGATAACAGGAAAATGTTAGCATTCAACTTTAAAGAGATTCTGTTTCAGTTATCAGGTATCATGATGTGCAATAGCATGGGTTAGCAACTATTTGACCATTGGAGTATCTTATAAAATCACTTTTAATTATGATATAGCCATTTACTAGTGCTACACTTTATGTGCTTTCTGTAGCATTTCAGTTTGTGGATCAATTCCTTAACTGAATCAGATCACATTTATCAGTGGACTATTCATTTACTTCTTTGGTCAGGTACAGACATCAATCCCGCCTTAACATAAGAATGTTTGCCAACCTTACATACTAGGGTACACCGTAAAGACACCTATGCTGTGCAGAACAAGCACAAGGAAGCTAAGAGGCATGCCTGGATTAAAAGCATAAGATCTATTTTACTTTATTTGGTTCAGTATTTTTCTTAATTACCAGTGAAATTTAATCCTTTATTTTGTAGTAATTATGACCATTTTAAAACAGAAATTTCATAGTAAAACCTCAATTTAGCAAACCAAGAGATCTGTGAGCATAATCTTCAATTTCTAGAACAACTGATTTACTTTTAAACAGAAAAACATTTATATAATATGAAAGATTTGGCCTCAAATAACTTTGAAGTTCAAACAGAATTTTAAATATCACCAAATAACTAAAATTTCAGTTTAATATCATAAACATAAATGAGCATTTAATGGTTTTCTCTTAGGCTCACCTGCAAAGGTTCACTGTGAGGGTTATGTATATTTATTATAGGAGAAAAACTGCTATTTACAGGAACACGTGCCCCAATAAATGGGCGCAATCGATAGGGGTTCGGTACTCCAATGCCAAACACCTGGTTCAGAAAAACAAAGACAGGTAGCTGTATGTAATTGTTGCAGAGCTTAACATATGTGCACCAATTTTAGTAGACTACCAAGTACTCTTTTAAAATTAATTTTATAGTATACATCTAACTGAACATTTAAAACCAGTATCATGCTGGAAAAAAAAGAAACTGGTTTAGTTGCAGCTAAAGGGTATTTCTCATAGCTACTACTTACTTACGCTAACATACTTAGAACATAGGAAGTCAAAAAATACTATCTTTTTTTCTGATACTCTGAAACACTAGATACCAGCTAAAGGTTAAAAAAAATGTGAAATATCTTTTAATCATATCATTATGGAACAGACTATCCATACGGGAAACATTTTTGTGGTTGTTTTCAAAACATTGTCATGGTAAGAGTCATATTCTCTCAACAAGAGGATTTATCTCACTTTTCAGGATCTCTCATCTGTCTGGTTTATCTTGCTGAATCTCAACTGAGTAATTTTTTGCCAGCTTAATGAATAACATTGTCTTGTCACTGGATCACAGAATCATAGAATCATTTAGGTTGGAAAAGACCTCCAAGATCAACAAATCCAACCATTAACCTAACGCTGCCAAGTCCACCACTAAACCATGTCCCCAAGCACAACACTCACATGTCCTTTAAATACCTCCAGGGACAGGGACTCAACCACTTCCCTGGGCAGCCTGTTTCAATGCTCGACAAGCCTTTCAGTGAAGAAATTTTTCCTAATGTCCAATCAAAACCTCCCCTGGAGCAACTTGAGGCCATTTCCCCTCGTCCTATTGCTTGTTACTTGGCAGAAGAGACCAACACCCACCTCACTACAGCCTCCTTTCAGGCAGTTGTAGAGAGCAAGAAGGTCTCCCCTCAGCCTCCTCTTCTCCAGGCTAAGCAACCCCAGTTCCCTCAGCCGCTCCTCATCAGACTTGTGCTCCAGATCCCTCACCAGCTCTGGACATGCTCCAGCACCTCAATGTCCTTCTTGAACTGAGGGGCCCAAAACTGAACACAGTATTCAAGATGTGTCCTCACCAATGCTGAGTACAAGGGCACAATCACTTCCCTGCTCCTGCTGGCCACACTATTCGAGATATAAGCCAGGATGCTCTTGGCCTTCTTGGCCACCTGGGCACACTGCTGGCTCATATTCAGTTGGCTGTCAACCAACACCCCCAGGTCCTTTTCCACCGGGCAGCTCTCCAGCCACTCTTCCCCAAGCCTGTAGCGCTGTATGGGGTTGTTGTGACCAAAGTGCAGGACCCGACGCTTGGCCTTGTTGAACCTCATACAGTTGGCCTAGTCCCATCGATCCAGCCTGCCCAGGTCCCTCTGCAGAGCCTTCCTGCCCTCCAGCAGATCAACACTACCACCCAACTTGGTATTGTCTGCAAACTTACTCAGGGTAACTGAGGGCACTCAATCCCCTCATCCAGATCACCAATAAAGGTATTAAACAGAACTGGCCCCAAGTCCGAGCCCTGAGGAACACCACTTGTGATCAGTTGCCAGCTGAATTTGACTCCATTCACCACAACTCTTTGGGCCTGGCCATCCAGCCAGGTTTTTTTTACCCATCAAAGAGTATGCCTGTCCAAGCCACGAGCAGCCAGTTTCTCCAGGAGAATGCTGTGTGAAATGGTGTCACAGGCTTTAGTACAGTCCAGGTAGACAACATCAACAGCCTTTCCCTCATCCACTAAGCAGGTCACTTTGTCATAGAAGGAGATCAGGTTAGTCAAGCAGGACCTGCCTTTCATAAACCCATGCTGACTGGGCCTGATCACTTGGTTGTCCTGTACATGCCACATGATGGCACTCAAGGTAATCTGCTCCATAACCTTCCATGGCACTGAGGTCAGACTGACTGTAGTTCCCTGGATCCTCCTTCCAGCCCTTCCTGTAGGTGGGCTTCACATTGGCTAACCTCCAGTCCACTGGGACCTCCCCAGTTAGCCAGGACAGCTGATAAATGATGGAAAGAGGCTTGGTGAGCACTTCCACCAGCTCCCTCAGTACCCTTGGGTGTATCTCATCTGGCCCCATAGACTTGTGTGTGTGTCTAAGTGGTGTAGCAAGTCACTAGCCATTTCCCCTTGCATTATGGATGGGGGCTTTATTCTGCTCCCAGTCTCTGTCTTCCAGCTCAGGGGGCAAGCTGGGTACCCTGAGAACAATGGGTCTTGCCATTAAAGACTGAGACAAAGAAGGCATTAGTGCCTCAGCCTTTTCCTCGTCCTGTGTCATTATGTTTCCCCCCGCATCTAATAAAGAACGTATGTATTTATAGAAACATTTTTTATTGTCTTTTACAGCACTAGCCAGATTAAGTTCTAGTTGGGCTTTGGTCCTTCTAATTTTCTCCCTGCATAACCTTGTGACATCTCACAGTCCTCTTGAGTTGCCTGCCCCTTCTTCCAAAGGTCATAAACTCTCTTTTTTTTTTTTTCCTGAGTTCCAGCCAAAGCTCTCTGTTTAGCCAGGCCAGTCTTCTTCCCTGGCAGCCTGTCTTTCAACACATGGGGATGGCCTGCTCCTGTGCCTTTACAATTTCCTTCTTGAAGAATGTCCAGCCTTCCTGGAGTCTTTTGCCCTTCAGGACTGCCTCCCAACGGACTCTTGTCAACCAGGCTCCTAAACAGACCAAGTCTGCCCTCCAGAATTCCAGGGCAGAAGTTCTGCTGAGCACCCTCCTTACTTCTCCAAGAATGGAAAACTATCATTTCATGATTGCTGTGCCCAAGATAGCCTCCAACCATAACATCACCCACCAGTCTTCCACTGTTCATGAACAACAGGCCCAGTAGTGCACCTTCCCTAGTTGGCTCACTCACCAGTTGTGTCAGGAAGATATCTTCCACACACTCCAGGAACCCCCTGGACTGTTTCCTCTCTGCTGCATTGCATTTCCAGCAGACATCTGGTTAGTTGAAATACCCCCTGAGAACAAGGGTTAGCAACTGAGACTTCTCCTGGCTGCTTATAAAATATTTCATCTGCCTCTTCATCCTGGTCAGGTGGACTCCCCTGCCTTGTTGGCCTTCCCCCTGATTCCACACCCCCCCGCAAACCCTGTCATCACCATTGTTAAGCTCTAGACAATCAAAACATTCCCTAGCATACAGAGCTAGATGAGTACAGATGAGTACAGAGCTAAAGAATGGGCTAGATCACTGCAATAAGCAACTAAAATAACACACAAGGAGTGTTAAAAAAGTTGTTGGGAGGATTTTAAACCTACATAATTTCATTGAGCCAGCTTACAGTACTGCCCTACAGATATTTACAATTTTATACCTCTGTATTACAACAAGCAGCAGGGATGGAAACTTCTTCAGCTGGGCTGATAAAAAAAACCAACAACACTATTGTGTAAATATCCTGGGATGGCTAAACATGCCATAACAGATACTGCTGTGGTTCATTCACACTTCCTAACTTTTTCTGAAAGAGTGTAATTCTCTTACCTGATAAGTAAATACCCCATGATTAGAAGTGTTAATAAATAAAGTGTTCTCTACATTTCCCACTACTCTTGCGAGGAAAACTACATCAAAGGACGTATTCCCTCCTGGAAGAATTTTCTGGAAAAAATAAAAGCAAGCAAGCAGAGGAATAAGCAAAAATGTTTATTGAAGATATTCCACCTCACAGATGAACAACAGTTTTTGTGCTACAGAAGACCTCCATGTGCTCTTTATGGAAAACTGAAGTTAGAAAGTCTACTGCAGATTTGGAAAAAAATAAGTAGAAGTTTTAGACAAGTAAAAATGTTTTAAAGCCATTACCTAGGGCAGGATCACATATAATTGAATTTTTATATTGAATTCTGAACTTAAGTTCTGTTTATCAGAAATACAGGACATTGGAGAAAGGCAATTACTACAAGACTTCCGTGAGTGAGAAAGGTTGCTTATAGACAGGTTTTCTGAAGTTTTTAGTGTTTACATGGCCCCTGCAAAGCCAGAGGCCCCACAGACAAAACTGAAACTAGAAGACTATATATGACAATAATGTGGTTAAGAGTTAACCCTGCTGACACCATGCTTTCTAACTTGCAAGTTCCTGTAACATAACTGCAGTAGTTTTAAGTGCGCTGGAGTGACTATTTCACAGTAATACCACTTCATTAGACTTACAATTTTCAGAAAAATTGTAAGAACAGCTTGTTTCTGTATGTCCTCTAAAGGAACATACACTTAGTCACTGCAGCAACAAAGGAGATCTGCCATTAACCCATCAGTTACAGTATACACTTCCTATGCAGTCAGAACTCCTATGCAACATGTCATTCCTTCTCTTCTATAGCAGGGTTTGTGTGTGTTTCCTTGCTCAGTTCAAATTTGCTTGGTAACTGATACGAGATCAAGAACAGCAGTATCTTAATACTTTTAGGTATGTAATTATTGCAGAAAGTAGCATATTTAAATAACGGAGGGAAATCAAGCTCCCATTTGGGGTGGGGAGGGGGAAGGAAAAGCTCATTTTGAGACAGCAGAAAAACTTACCCTATTTTGAAAAAATGATGCATGAAAATGTGATGTTGTAGCAGATATTGATACTAATGTAATTGTTTCTTCTGAGCTAGGGTTATGTAGGTAAACTTTTTCCATTTTTGGCATTCCAACTGGCCTGTTGAAACAGAAAGAGAATATTTTTAAAGTGTTAGAATTCTAGAAAATAGAGCACTGGGCTTTGTCCTGTTAAACCAGATAGAAACATAACAGTGATGAACACTGACAACAGAACTTTGCATTACATGTTTTTTCAAGTAACATATGTACATTCTACCTTGATGAACCACTTGGTTAACATCTTTTCCATTATGTTATTGATTACTTTTCCTGAAGGTTTACCTAACATTGTATCATCCTCTAAAATGACACCTATCCAAAATTAAATTATATTTTCCCGGTTTTTACTTTAGAATCAGAAGAGGCAAAGTTTTATATTCCTGTGCTCGAACCTCTAAATAATTATCTTAAGAAAGGTTGCATACAGCAACTTAAACAGAGCACACCTTAGACAAAAAGTCTAAGCACGTTTTTTTCCCTGATAGATTGTATGTAGTCTAACTCAATTTTTCTGGTATTACATTTTATAACATGCTCTACAGAATTAAGTACACAGACATGCAACAACTATTTTATTTCTTGTCCTGGTTTCAGCTGGGATAGAGTTAGTTTTCCTCCCAGTAACTGACACAGTGCTGTGTTTTAGATTTAGTACTAAAAGAATGTTGATAACACCCTGATGTTTCAGTTGTTGCTGAGCAGGGCTTACACCAGTCAAGGACTTTTCAGCTTCCCCTGCTCTGCCAGGGGCACAAGCAGCTGGGAGGGGGCACAGCCAGGACAGCTGACCCCAACTGGCCAAGGGGCTATGCCAGACCATATGGCATCATGCTCAGTATAGAAACTGGGGGGAGTTGGCCAGGGGGCAGCGATTGCTGCTCCGGGGTGGGCTGGGCATCAGTCAGTGGGTGGTAAGCAATTGCATTGTGCATCACTTGCTTTACATATTCTTTTATCTTTATTATTATTTTCTCTTCCTCTGCTGTTCTATTAATCCATCTTTATCTCAGACCATGGGTTTTACTTTTTTTTCCAATTCTCTCCCCCATCCCATGGGGTGGAAGGGAGGGAAGGGGGAAGTGGGGCAAGGGTGGGGCTGTGTGGTGCTCAGTTGCTGGCTGGGGTTAAACCACAACATTTGTATACTGCATTTGAATTCATACCTTAAAGAAAAAAAAAAAAGAAATACTTGATTCATACCTTAAAGAAAAAAAAAAGAAATACTTGAGATAAATTCTAGAATTTAAGAAGTCTGAAACACAGAAGTCAGAGTTAAACAGCACACTTTTGCAGTAACAAGATGTGCTAACGATTTATTCCGCACAAGACTTCAGCTTGTTCCTTTTTGCTTACAACAGCTGACGTGACAATAAATGCTTCAGTTTCACTGATTTTTCAGACTTTGGTATCTCTTCAGATTTTTTTCATGCCTTTTAACACATAACTGTTAAGCATCAGCACCAAAGCACTGGTAAAATGCATAGATTACAATTTGCTCCAAATTCAATTTTGGAATTCAAAAAAGTTACCTCAGCTTTCAGGCTACATGTATTCTGTGTGGCACTCCCTCCCTTGTCACCTGCTCCAAACATTGCAAGGACCACAAAACTATTGATAAGAATTACTATCTGCAGTACCCAAAGTCCTGACAACCAGTAACAGGCAGTTGTTCTGCCATCCTCAGTTAACTTTACCAGGCCAAATTAATAAGTGCTATTGTAGTTGCACAGTTTTTCAACTTGGGGGGGTGTGCATGTCTCAATAGATAGAGCAATTTAAGTTTGCTGTAAACTAAATGTTGCACTGAATGGCGGATTTAGTGACAGTATTCAAACTATATCACAATTTACAAAGTGATTGCAGTAACAGACAGAACCTCCTACTTATGAAACACGGGCTAAACACAAGGATGCTGAAGACCATGATATTAATTCAAAGACACAAATATTAACCTTCAATAAACTGCATCATCACTAGCAGTAGAATATAGCCGCTACTGTAAATCTCTTTGCTTTGCTTGCTGGGTCTTCCTAATTTCACGTCTCCATCAAACATTTGCTCTTGATCTTTCTTTCACGGTCAAAAAAAAAAAAAAAAAAAAAAATCTCACTTTGACTTCTCTAACTTAAGTAGACAACAACTCCTCTCCTCACCTTTTAAAACCTGCACAAAACCTAATGCCCAGGTTAAGCCATGACATACAAGTATTTGTTTCTGTTGCCAGTATACATGGGGACATTAGAAAGGGAAATAGTTCAGCAAATTTTTTGCATTAACTGTTTTAACTGCTACATTGTTGATCAGTGGAACCAAACAGTAAACCTATACATCCGTTCTCTGTTTTCTAGGGAAAAGCTTAGCAGCCCGGAGGAATCTGAATGAGAGCCAGCTCTCCAAAGCTCGCCATCTCTACCCTACCCCCAGCAAAAAAAAACCAAACCAAAAAAAACCCCCCCAAAAACCCAGCAACCCCACTCCCCACCCCAAAAGAAACAAAAAACCAAAAAACGCCCCACATAACCCACAAAAGAAAGGACAACTGAGAAAAGTGTCCGCTGATAAGGAATAACCCAGCACCCCCTGAATTCTGAACCCACTGCTTCAAACACTCCTTCACTGACATCAGTACGGATGGGCTTGAGTATTTTACTTGCTCAGGAACTCTGAAAAGCCTAAGCCAGCTATCATAGCAGTCAGAAATTCTGCAGTGAATTCGTTGTTTAGAAAAAGGGGTCATGCCTTAAACAAGTACTCTCTGATTCTACCAACACCAAAAAAGGAAAAAAGAAAGAAAATAGCCCAACTCCTCCAACACTGCAGAAAGTTCTTTCAGCCTCTCCTGAGGATCGGCTGTCTGTTCCCTACTTCTCACTGCAATTCCTCATTCTCCTCAGCGGAAGACATGCTCCCAGCACCTTGCTGGAACTCTTTTGCTTGCCACGGTGCAGTTTCTGGATACTTCTCTGATACTTCTACTGAACAGAGCATGTTCAGTAGCTCCCCAAGAAGGGGGAAACCATCCTCCTCCTCTACTACAATGCACTCCAACCAGTCTTCGTATGAAGAGCTTAAGAGCCGAAAAGAATCAAACAGAACAGTTCCCACCGACCACAACAGCAGGAAGCGAGAGAAGATGAGGTAGATTTTAACCACTGCATTACACGTGAGCAAGTGGCACAACTAGCGTATCACCTGTGGTCTCTACAGAGAGCCAGCTATGCACTGAAAACCTAAGATCAGAGTTGACTTAAGGGACAGTTTTTATGATGCATAAATGTGTGAAACACCACAAAGCCAAGAAAACTATGTTGAATGAACCAGTAATACTGAAGTGACAGCTTGTTCCTGTTAGGTAGTTTGGAAGTAAAACTCATTATCCCAGGAAATGTTTCAAATAAACAATCTTTAAGGCCCTCACGCTTTTCCAGTTCTGAAAGAAGGGAATGCAAGTATATTTGAGAGGCTAAAGCCTACAAAAACAACTAGTAGGGAAGCAGCCACAACAGACATCACAATTCAGTAACTTTAGATTCCAGACTAAACCACCACGGTATAATCACAGGTGATAAAGGCAGAAGTCACTAAAAAGGAATTCTGTTGCTAGGACTGTTTTATTTTACTATTTTGTTGACCATTCTGATTTTGAAGCAACAAGTCTGGTATTATCTTTTGCTCAGATACAGCTTTCCTTATATTCTTTAAGCTTGAAATAGGCTAAACCTTACTTGTTTTTTCTGCCATCAGTAAAATCCAGGTAAAGCAGTGTGCACCAGCCACCTTTAATGAACCCACATCCCAAGCAATAATCACATCAGGGATGCTCTCCAGGCTGTGGATTATCAAGCCGCAATGATCTGCACCAGTACAGTGTTTACCTAGTGCCAAATTTGACAGCAGAATTTCCTGGAGCAGTCACAGCTAGCATTTTTCATTGCAAGGAGCTGGTGCAGACACACACCTTCAGGCAAGCATGAACTGCCAAAGCGTGTAAGATTCCCCTCCTGATCTTTTGTCCCTGCATAATGCTAGGTCCACCTACACTGATAAAAAGCAGATACCGCAACCTAGATGAGAAGATGGTAATTAACAAGGGTGAGGTGCCTGTTCAAATGGGTAAAGAAGCCTGTGTGCACGTTCTTTACTGCTGCAACTCAACTCTTATTAAAGGCTGAGTTAGTGTCTGCAGTGTATTGTAAGCACGTCCTTGTAATGGAATTCATTGCTGCTCTAGGGATCAAAAGGTAGACTCTTTTAACAAAGGAAAACAGCTCCTGAAAAAAGCTGGGGTGAGGAGTCCTTGAGTTACTGGCTCAAACTTAACTTGCAAAAATATCTAGCTACTCACTGTGAAGCAAATATGGATTGAGAAAACGCCCTTTTAAAAGAGTAACTACGTTTTTTTCTTACTGCATATATTTTAGACACCTCTGTAAAATGCTCAATTTATGAACACTATGAAAATATGTATGAAAATAGATACAAATTATTACTGAAAAGCTAAGGATATAAATTCAGCAAATACATCCTTCCTCTTCCATCCCCTGTTCCTTCTAATGAGACTGGAGAGAGAACTGAAGTCAGCCAAAAGCTTCCCAACTCAGATTTTGGAATGCTGGGAATATAGATAAACATATTCAAGATTCAGTTCAGGTAACTTCCCCATGAATTTTAAGAGTTTAACAAATATGTTTTCTCCTAAGCATTTTTTTCTTTTAGCATCTTTGGCAACTGCTGAAACAATTGTAAGACTAGTTGTTGCACAGCATATCGAAAGTTTCATACGGATTAAATCAGTATCCTGTGTCAGACAGGAGTGAACAGCACATGCCTAGAAGGCAAAAGTGTAATAATGTGGAAAGCATACAAAGTTAAGTGCCCAGAAAACACTCCTAGCCTCTAAATACATGCAGCTTGGGAACTTTCTGAACCGGTGTGGGTGGTTCTCCAGTCAGAAGATCAGAGAGAGAGCTCCAATAATGAGAAATTGGGTGTTGACTTGTAATGCATCCAGCTACTTTTAAGGAAATGAAATGAGCTGGTCTTACAAGGTTACCTCTAGAGACTGAGAGGGAATACCTTTTGTACCCCATTCTGAAGAAAATGCTAGTTCCTTACATGAAGGAAGTCTGCATGATATACAAGACTAGAGAAATAGTGCGTAGAGCATTCTCCCTGTTTCACACGAAACTCTATGCATCACTGGTTGAGTGACTCGGGCAAGTTGCTTCTTTAACTGAAATTAGAGTAACTGAAGCTCCTAAATTTGAGAATGCAAATGCATCTCTAACTCAGAAAAGCAAAAGAAAAGAGAAGGGTTTTATTTTTGCGTATGTACTAGCCTATAGACCAATTGTTTCTCAGCTTCCACATTTCTCTGGCTTCTAATGAATCAAGAAAGTTCTGTTCTATTACTCTTGACAAAAAGTTAGAGCCCATGTAACGTACTAAATGGAGCAAACGCCCCATTTTATGCTAGGAATTTAACTTAGATCCCATACAACAAACCATACATTTTCCAAACAGTTAGCAAAACCCCACATACAAAACACCAGTAGCAGAGTCTTATCCAATCACGTCACCAACTGTGATTTGTATGAACGCAAAAGTTTATTAAACTACTGTTTGATTTGGCAGCATTTTGCAGTCTAGCATGACATGCAAACAAAACCAGAGATAGATCTGGACTAAATGTCAATTTACTGTCAACAGTTTCTTACATTTAACAAACTCCAAGGGAAATGAAAATTTCATTTTGCAACATTTTTTAAGAATTCCAACACTCAGACTTTAGAAGTGTATCAAATGTACTGTGTAAACATTTGGCTGCACATTATAGGTACCTCATAGGTCCTTTCACCACTAGTAAATATACTTGTTTAAAATTTATGAAAACCAGCAATTTTGATAAACTCTCTAGTTGCTAAAATTCTCCACTTCTTACAGTTAAGAGATTAGAGTTGTTCAAGTTACTTCAAGTAACATAAGGTCTCAAGACCTGAAAGGAGGTCTCAAATATTTGAGCATTACTTAGTCCAAACAGTCCCCTGGAGCAGTGATATGGGAGAACCTGCCTCTCAGTTCCACCCTGTTCCCAGAGGCTTAATGTGTACATAGAACATTTGGGATCTCTTCGAGTGAGCTAAAGATTTGCATATCCTAACATATAGTATATACTTCCTTTGATGCATGTGAAATTACCTGGACTGCCTTCAAAGTGATGGAATATGGTAGTGGTTATTTTATATTAAAACAGCATTAAAAAAAGCCCTAACTGTTATAAAACAGAAGTATAAGGCCACTGTAATCTCATCTCCAGGCGGAACACAGGAAGTGTCTACTGCACCTATTTATCCACTTAATACTAATTTTCATTTTCTGAGATCCCTAGATAAAATACCTTTTTTAATAAATATTATTCTTGCTCAAGTTGGCATGTTTTTGAAACATCTGATTAAACCCACACACTCTCAACAGACCAGAAATGTCACAGGAAGAATGGATTAGCTTACAACTGAAATTAAATATTGCAACTTGCTTTAGCCTAGGAATGATACATGTTGACAGCTCAGCATAAACATGAACTTTGAACAAGCTTGCTCTACTAACTGCTACATGCTACCTATTAACAAAACACCATCTAGGTAAAATACTTATGCAGAAACTAAATATGCATTTCCTAAAATCCACTATTAACAAAGAAAGAAAAGGCAGAATTTGAATATGAAAACCCTGTCTATTTTAAAAGGCAAAAAAGCCAAAAGTTTAAATCTGCATTATTTGACTTCCAAGGTGCTTGGCACCTGCAGTTTGTTCCCACCATAAGGTTGAGTTACTCAGCATTTCTCAGAGTTGGCTCACTTTTATTTAAATGCCTAAGTACAGATTTTTAACTGAACTTTGGAGCTCTGTATCTAAATCTTTTCTAAAACTACTTTTGACATCTTACTGAAGTTTCAATAAATCAGAAGAGAACTTCTGCCTGAGATTATGACCTAAACTACAACAGATAAATTAATTAGCATATACTGTTAGAAAAAGAAAAAAACCAAAACCAACCAACCAAAAAAAACCAGAACGCCCAATGAACCAAGAACTGACACACAGATTCCCTATTTTAACTGATAGAAGGCAGTGATCCCTCAGTGCAGTTCCACATTTATTGAAGAGAACCCTTCCTAAGTAAGAGATTTGCACTACTTTAACAGTGTACTAGATCTACACTATTCCTTCAGTGCTTTCAGCTCTGACAAGAACAGCTTACATAAAAAGCCAAAACATAATGAAGAACAGCTTAAAGTATTTATGATACTGTCTGGGATCTACTTTTAGCAAGGAAAAAAAAAAAAATCTTTGGAAATCCACAAAGCAAAGCAGCACACGTAGCTTTCCTCAGCTAAGCATGAAAACTACAGATGACCTTTAAAAGCAAGATATTTCAGAGCACATCAACAAAACACTTTATTCATATTAGAAAAAGGTGTATAAATACATTTCAAATGTCGAATTCTGTAATTAATATGAGCTGAAAATCAATAGGTAAGTTTACAGTAACTTTAAGAAAGAGCAAACTTCTCTACAAGTTTGAGTTTGTACTGCACTCACCAGTGTAATTTGTTAACTATAACCTAATTTTATTATAGCAGAGATGCAGCAGAGCAGGGCTTACCAGTATGTATTTTACTATTCAATTTAGAAGTTCAATATCCTCCTACTTAGGACGAGTTACTGACATTACAAAAAAAACACAACATCGAAAGCTAGAGATTCTGAAATTTTGAAGGAATACAGAAGAGGGGACAGACTGATTTATTGTCTTTACTCAGAAGTAAAAGTTAGAATTTTGTTAGACTGAGCACAGATAAATTCTGTAAAATGAGGCAGTTCCATATAGCTTTGCTATTTAGTGGTACTGCATTTGTTTTTTGTATAAAGATTATTTCTGGAAAATTACTCTGTGCAAACAATACACAGTTACAGCTTCTCTTCTTTCAGAAACAGATGTATACACCACGTCAATACACATGAGCTTCCTTGCACATCTCTGTAGTCACCACACTGTACAATGACCTTTCCTACAGACAAGGGGTACTATATTTTTACTTATAGTATATGGCTTATCGTAAATAAATCAGCCTTTCATCCAGCAGCAGTGCTGGCTGAGGGTGGAGGAAGCAACACTGTGCTAAGGCACACCTGGGCTGTTTTCTTTCTTCCAGGCTGAACTGTTAGTGAAATATTTGAAATGTCCTCACTGTGTCAAAAGTATCAATCATGCACAGAGGCTGCATCCATGTGCACCAACTCCAGAACTGGTTTTGACTATTAACAAGAAGAATGACTGTAGCTCCCTGTACACAGTAACCAGTTACTGGTAAGAAAAGTTAAAGACTGAAGTAGTTCTCGGAGGAACCGATTACAAACAGGTATGTTGTTGAAATTGTTAAACTTCCTTCCTCCTCCCTTTCTTTTATCTTTTAAAGAAGTCATAGATAAGTTTGCTGTAAATGGTTACATTCAGCCAGTGAGAATCAGAACAGCAACTAGCTGCAAGGTGGAGTATGGAGGTGGTTCCTGGAGGCTGTTTGTTCTCCTTCAGGCTGTATTTTCACAACTCTGCATTACTGTTCCAGTAACTGCAGATCCACTGACAGTTTTTTTGCCACCAAAGCAATAGTAAAATTGCTCACCTCAGTACATTAAGTTCTAGACTTAAAACTGTTTCCACTCTGCACAGTGGCTGTACAAGTACCTAAAAGGTAAGTACAAGCACCTACACTACCAAAACCATGGCAGCTGATAGGTTGCTACATGATGTTTAAGACCAAGTACACCAGCTCTCTGGAATGAGGAGGTCAACTACATTTATGGACAATCTATCAATGCAATTTATGTATACAACCTTCTCCATCGGTTTTAAGTGCTCTTGAGATGGCTTTATTTTTTCCTATTTGTCTGACTAAATAGATCAAAAGACTTTTCAACTTACTGTTCATGGAAATCCAGCATCGGTGGCTCAAACCGGAGAGGCCGGCAATTTCCCCGATATAGGGATACACTGCAAGAAAAATTAAAATGCTGTTAAAGATACTGTTAAAGGATACATTTTTGCTCCCTTCCCATCTCAGATAGCCCTTTCTTAGCAAAACGTTCATTAATACTAATAATAGAGCAACTAATTCAAAAGAAGAAACAGCCTGACAAACTTGTCTGGCCAGAATACCGTAATTTTACCAGTCACTTACATGATTATGCGGTGTCTCCAAGAAAGATTATGCAAGAGTACATATCTTGGAAATGGACATAATTAAAGCATTAGTTTTCCTCTATATAGTGATGGGTAAATGAAACAGTAAGCTAAATAAGTTTCTATCATCTTTCACAGCAGTATCCAAACATCTTCCTCAATGTATGAAAGAAAAGAAATTTACATACACATGAGTTTCTCTAGCTACATCTATACTAGTACATAAACAAACTTGGACCCATCTGATGGTACTGAGGCCACATTAGAGAAAACAGCCCATGTCTATACTGTTAACAACTCTATCTCCAGAAGGCAGCAACTCTCTCTAGAAACCTTCTGTAGTTTTGCCTATACTAACCTTCTACTGGGAACTTTTTAGGAGAATGCTGGTAGGTGAAGACTGAAATACCACTCAAACAATCCACCACTGAAGACAACAAAGTATCTGGACACATTCTCTACTACTGCTTATTTTACCAGTACAGTTATATAGAGCACAATCAATAGCCCACAACGTAAGTTACAAGAAAAAATACAAAACAGTTTCATTGACTGAAACGTTTTCTTATTCAAAATGATGTAATTGTGACGACACTTAAGGATCTCTGTAATTCAGTAACACTTTATTTTAGGCTGAGTAAAAATCATTCATGCAATAAAACATAAAACAGAGACAATAACATAAAAGAAAGGCTAAGAAGAGGAAAGGCTAAAGAACAACTCAAGATCAATGGCTCAAGACCAATGGCTTGCTTTTTTCTTTAAATTCTTTTGTTACTGATATTAAAATAGCACTCTTGGTTTAGATCCTTGCTTTCTGACTTTGTATCAATCCTAGATGCCCAAAGACAGAGCTGCAGCCACGTGTCCTGGGTAAGCAAAGCTGCTCCACAAACACAGTCAGGGCAGCATAGCCACCCAGTTCGGCCCCAGCAGAGGGAGAAGCCAGGAGATGGAAGATGCCCTTGGACAGGCATATGTGGCTCGCCTTATGAAAGCTGAGGCCTTGACCTCAATCTAATTCCATCCAGCGTATTTCCAGGAAAACTAGTTATTGATCAAATTCAGATGTCTTTCCATACTCCAGAACCATTTCAACAAGGAAGCTGTTTACAGGAGTAAAAATTTAAGAATAGGGTACAAAATCTTAACTGTATTCTCTAATAGCACAGATCTGGACAACGACAACAGTATAACAAATCAACAGCTTTTTTACGTAAATCCAGTGTTTCAGTGACTCACTAGTACTCCACAACTGAATCTTCACGCTTCAAGTATAATATGTGTGTAATAGGAAGATCTATTCATGCTGATCAATTTACCTCTCAGTCTGGATGTCAAAGCATCTTCAATACTACTTAGAGCTTAGTCGTTAAAAATAGCTTTATCCACATAATAAAAGTAAAACACTATTGGTGCAAGAGTAGGAATAGTACAGTCAGTTTTAATGTAGACTTGTAAACACGTGTGTCTGTGCACATGCATGTGTATACATTTGTGTACATACAGATCACAAAACAATGTAAGTGAAGGTATAAGACACAATGTATTCTGTATTCAGATCTACAGAAAATTAAAATTGTTGCTACTGTTAAGTGCTGCTGTGACTCATTACAGTTGTAATAAGAGAGAGCTTGGGTATACCTTCTCAGGCTAAAATCAAATATCATGGAACAAGTGCTCAACAAAATGAAGTTTACGGAGACTCTGAACGTAAGAGAATAAATTTGGAAAATTGTATTAGCAGTGATATTTTGAAAGGATAAAACAAGTTGATAATAAGCCTTCACCACAATCATCTCACTTTTCAAAGTTTATGGTCCAACTAAAAAAAAAAATTAGAGTTCATTTTTAAATTTAAAAGGACAAAAAGCTCATGTACCTCCATTGTCAAGATAACACTAAACAAAATAGTCTTCTGCAGTAATAATTTTTTAAGATACTTCTGTCAATTTCTTCCAATTTCAAAACTCTGAACAGCCAGCACCTCATTTTTTTATTGGCAGTTACTGGTAAAAAGACACATCAATTCCTTTTATGGAAAAGTTATCAGAAATACTTACATTATTTACAAAAGCGATAATGAAGATCTTTATTTCAAATGCACTGAAAATACAGTCAAGAGTAACTTGACCTAACTTGAACAATCGGGACATACACAAGTCCCCACATCCATGAAAAGTTTAAGCAACATTTTCTCAGATCGCATAGCTACATTATCCTGGATAGCCATTTAGACAGCACGAATTTTTAAATGGCTAAAGTGTGGTAAAGGCAGCTACATCATAATGAATGCCAACTATTTTCATAAAAGGAACGACTGTAATAAGATTCAAATGGGAACAAGCAATATTGGAATTCCCAAAGTTTGCCTACTGAAAGGCCCAACATGAGTCAACTTGCAGCAGACTTACAAAATGATGATAATGTCTTCTCTGATGGGCACTTGCTCACTGAAGGCTGGATACACCCATGGGTAGGGCAACTTTACAACATAATGACATTTAAGTTAATTACTATTGTATGCATGTAGAGCTATGGCTCCCGGTCTTAGATCAGAATTCAAACATTTTTTTCTTTTCCTCCCCCTCCAAGTTTTCTAACTTTCCAAGTCAAGAACAACATGAAAAGGAAAAGATGCATCTGAATGAGGGAACACTGACATCTGCCAACAAGCTCCAGAAGACCAAAAATTGGCCAGGAGTCATCTAAGCCTATGAAGTTCCCTGGCAATATTTTAAGATGGTCCCAGCACTTTCTCCCTTCTGCAAGAATCTTGATTTTAAAAATGAGACCTGAGAGTGAGCTACACACAGTCCCTGACATGATCATTACCCTCACCATACCATCCACTGCCATCCAAGTGAGAAGGCATTTACCTCAACTACCAACTACTGTACTGCTACTACCCAAGAAGCAACCTACTACCAGATGCAATTCACTGAAGCGCAACTTCATGTCTCAATAAGCTTAGTCACAGATGTAGTTATAAAGACGGTCAAAATATCAATGCCTGGAAAGATGGTAGGTGATATGGATGTCCATCTGTGCTGAGACACAATTTACTTCTGTCTAAGGACATTCTCCAGCACTTCTATAATGTTCTGCTGTTTATCGCAGAGGACTAGGCTCTCATAATTTTAAATAATCCATGCATATCTCTGCATTTGTAGATGAAGAAAATGCTTGTTTAATATAGTATTTAAGGATTTCTGCGAAGTTAGGCAGTAACTGTTTCTCTGTATCCTCACTTTACCTTTCTAGTTGTTCTGGGATTTCTGGAGGAGCTCTGTGCTCTGTGGAATCTTATCTGTACCATCTTTAATTGCTACCGTGGAAAATTCAAATCTAAGCATTACTCTACATGTATTTTTCCCACATTACTTTACCAGTCATTTAAAAGGTTTTATTTCCTCTCCTGTGCCATAAATTGTCAAGAAATAAAGACAACGGCATTAAACCCTCAAATAGCAAGAGATATCATGATTTTATTTAGCAACACAATCTCTTAGAAAGCCACTACTTTGTTATTTCTATTACCACAAAATAAAATGAAATTGCATCCAAAAATAACCATGTGAATTTTTAAAATGGCAAATAGGCAAATACCTCACAGTGGGTACTTTTTGTGCCAGAACATCCTTGAAAGACCCACTTCAGAGACAGAACGTTTTTGGCAAAAAAATTAAGTAACCACTCATGTTTCCCTGAGTTCATCCACGACTTGCTAATATCCAAAAATAAGGCTGAGCTGCATATATCAGAAAATGTATTTAAATTTTTATAGTTAATATTATTTTAGAAATTTGGTATCAAACACAGCCTCATTGAGAAAGTGAACTGCCACAAAACATTCAACCACTTTGGTATCTGGCAGTAGACACTGCTATAAGTGCAGATGAATAAAAAGACTAGCAACATAAGTTTTTCATGAACTACACCCAGCTAGTGGTTGGCTCAGTCATGCCAACATTAATGCTGTATCAGGAAAACATACTCATTATATCAGACTTTAAACTTCAAAGCTAACACTTCCTGAGGGGGTTGGCTGGGGAAAGGGTGGGGAAAGAACAGGGAGAAGCTTGAATAGATGCACTGTAACCTGACCATGGGTAACAACAAAACAAGTTAAATGGCTAGTTCATTTCCCTCCTTCCAATTAGTGTTAAAAAGCAGATCAAAGAACTGAATAAACTGTCTAGATAGGGAACAAATATCTGCAAGCTATACCAAGAAGGAGATAGTATAATCTCTAATAAGGACAATGAAAGACAAGTCATCTAAAGAAATTAATCATGTGGACAAGAAACAGAGTTTTTAGCAACGCCATTGAAAAAAAATCACCTATAAAGATACTTGAAAGAAAGATCCATGTAAAACCAATAACAGAGAGAGAGAAATAGCCAGCCAGTGAATGACATGATTTGTATTTGATTTTGTTTACACTAAAACTTTATTATTCTTATGAAAAATATCAAAAAATTCACAATAAGATTGCTGTATTAAACTCTCAAACAATCATGCTTACCTTTTCTGTTGATATGAACTGAGGCCTATAGTAGTCTCAGTCTGTAAAAAAAATAAATAAATAAATTTAAATTTAAGACAAGGACAGCATTATACTTCCTGTGGGAAAAAAGCAACTGCAGCAAGTTAGTAGATCAGATCTTGAAGAACAAAAGTAGATGTTCTGATCTGGAGCAGAAAATGCAAATTGGCTTTTTCCAACTACTTAAAGAAATTAAGCCTCTACCGAAAGACTGTTTCACCCCGGACAAGAACTGCAGTCAATTCCAGCGGTAGGCACTCCTGCAAACTGTAAAATAAGCAGCAACTTAACTTAAAAATTGAGAGGAGGAACAAAGTCCAGGATATTATAACATCGTAGGGAGCAAAACAAAACCCATCATAGATGTAAGAAATAAATTACAAAGAAAAGCATATAAAACAAATACCAATCAAGCAATTATCTCACTGGTATAATTTAATGAATTACAAAACAAAGAACACTATAATCTCCATTTGATTAGGAAACTTCCATCTCCTTCCCTGCTAATGATCTTCTAGCCTCTATTATTCATACTTTTACTACCACTCTGCTGGACATTACAGTTAATTACCTGAAAACAAGGAGGTTAGGTTGTCTAGGAAATTCTAACTAGTTTATCCTTGTCTAAGAAATCCCAGCTGGTTTAGAAGGCTGCGTATGGAATGTCTTCCTGATATAGCTAACATTAAAACATACCTGACTTTGAAAACTTCTGTCTTCCCACAAGATCTGGGAATCAAATGAAGGATTTCAGTCCTTCTCTTAAAGGCATTTCACAGCCAAGACAAATATTTATCTTCTGGGAGCAGGAAGAAAGCTTACAGTTCTGATAAAGTCTACTGTGCCCCTTGGCTCATCTGACACAGTTCACCTCTAGTATAAGGACATCATTTATTTTCAAGGGGAATGTGAACTTTTCATATCTTGTTTCAGAATTAAAATCAAGTCCCTTGGCTGGGCACTTTGCTGATTTCTATTTCAACTACAAATTACACTTTCTTTCCTTGTTTTCCATAAGATAAAAGTATTTTTTCTTAAATTTTTTTTAAAAAAAATTATCTTTACTTAAAAATTCCTTTAATAAAAGAATCTATATTTTATTTTGCTCTTTGGAGAAACTTCTTTGAAATTTTATAATTACTACTATTAAGCCACTTGAATCAAACATTAATGTTTGTGCACTATGTCAAGGATCAATTCAGGACTGTAAATCTAAATAGTGTTTCAGATTTAAACTGAATTATTTGGTTTATTGACCCCCCAATTTCTATCAAACTAAAGAAAGTTGGAAGTATATCATTTACCATTGAAAAAAAAAAAAAAAGCTAATCTGTCACTGGAGGATTTACTTGCGATTTTAAATGTCTAAACAGACGTTAGCCTTTTTGTTTTCAAACCTCTGAAACAGAAGGGCAAACTGCCTTGCTAAAGGGATGTTGCAGGAAGAAGGGGTTCACATGAAATTATGCTTTGCAGTACAGCACAATGAGTGCAGTTTTTTCCTCACTGAACAGAATGCTAAGAGACAAGGCAAGTTGTTTTATATTGCCAATTCTATTATAATTTAAAAATTAGCAATTCTTCATTTAAACTCAGCAAGCTTTCATTTAAACTTACATACTATATTTGTGCCGTAATTAGGAAAACAGGGCATTTCTTATTTTTCATTAAAATACACTGGCTTGCAAATGTTTCCATTACATTTTCCTAGCTAAGGTACACTACTCTCACACTGATAAGCTTTTAGCTCAGCTTCTTAACTTCTGATGTCCCTCTCCATCTTCTATTTCCAGTAAGATATAAGTAAACACTTACAACCTGTGGTGAATTGTTTCAGAATATTAAGAGAAATTCAAATAAAATGAAGAAAGAAGACATTTAAAAATCAGTTTTAGTTAACTGATGAACACTTATGATACAAAATGTTTTGTATCTAAAACTTCCTAGGAAGACCTGCCTAACAAGTTAATTGATTAGCTCTGAAATCTAAAGAATTTAATCAGAAGACACAGATCTCTGCCTTCCATACCTTGTTTTTTTCCTCACCTTGGAAAGGTGAGAGCAAACCTTCCAGTTTTAAACTGCCACCCATTAATTCCTCAACTTAAAAAATAGATGGGAAACTGAATCAAAGTGAATCAGCTGAAAATACTTTCTCTCCACCCAAAAAAGGCCTTGTGCTGTCAAAAGCTGGTTTAACACTTCATACAAGCACCTGTTCAAAACACTAAGCCAGTGATTTCCTCTAGTTCACAATAGCATGATTTTATAAGCTCTGCAGAAAAGATGTATTGCTTGAGTATTTTAAAAATGGTCTTAATAAGCTTCAAACAGCGACTTATAATTACATATGCTTATTCTTATTATCTGCTTTTCTATCATAAATCTGACAACCATGAATCACTGCCTTTCCAATTTTCTTTTTCATTTTTTTTCGACTATGTAACTATTGCCTACAGCTCGCAGATGTGCCCATCCTCTCTCAAAGCACATCAGACTACACCTGGCTCTGAGGGCTCTCAAAGAGATGCCGCACAGCCTACTCAGTAGAAACAGTCTAGGGCTTGCTTACAGGGACTAAACAGCCCGAGTTATTTGACTGCAGCTGAGTGGCATGCTGAGCTTCACCACAGCCAGCTACCACTGATCTAGGCTAACAGACACATTGCTCAATGAGTCTCAGCATTTATGAGCTTTCTGCACATCTCCGATGCATGTAGCGAGTGGTATGCTCCAAGTGTTGATGATGAAGAAGTTTTGGATCTGAAGATCTATGCAATACAATCACAAATGCAGGTGTACCCAAAAATGGCCTAAATCCATTTTGAGTATTTTCTCTACTAACTGAAATAATCTGCTATTCCTCCCTACCAAACAACTGCATATATCCCTCTCTTTTTTTACTGTAGCACAGTCCTTCAAAGCCGCCTTCTGATTTCACCAGTTCCACTCTTCCATGCTGTGCATTCACACCACTGACTTTCCTGCCTGCTGGAGGGAGACAACCAAAAGTTGCTGAGACAGTGCTCCTCTAAAATAGCTATGCAACTGTACTGGTTTGGGCTGAGATAGAGTTAACTTTCTTCACAGTAGCTAGCATGGGGCTACGTTTGGGATTTGTGCTGGAAACAGAGTTGATAACACAGTGATGTTTTCATTATTGCTGAGCAGGGCTCACACAGCACCGAGGCCTTTTCTGCTCCCCACCCCACCGGCAAGGAGGCTGGGGATGCACAAGAATTTGGGAGGGGGCACAGCCGGGACAGCTGACCCCAACTGACCAGAGGGATATTCCATACCGTATGACATCACACTCAGCACATAAAGCTGGGGGAAGAAGAAGGAAGGGGGGGACATTCGGAGTGATGGCGTCTGACTTCCCAAGTCACAGTTATGCGTGATGGAGCCCTGCTTTCCTGGGGATGGCTGAGCACCTGCCTGCCGGTGGGAAGGACGGAATGAATTCCTTGTTCTGCTTTGCTTTACCTATTAAACTGCCTTTATCTCAACCCAGGAGTTGTCTCACTTTTACCCTTCTGATTCTCTACCCCATCCCACCGAGGGGGGGGGAGTGACCAAGCGGCTGGGTAGGGCTGAGCTGCTGGCTGGGGTTAAACCACGACAACAGTCAAACTTACTCTATGAAACCAACAGATGTATGAACATCCTGTATCCCTTACTGATGTTCTTGAATGTGCATTATTCACTACAATTAAATACAACCTTCCTTACAGTAATTGATTTTTCTTTAGAAACATAACTAAAGCACTTCATTATATTACTAGCAGTTACCTGACAGTCAGATGATGGAGCTAACAGCTTCAGATCCTATGACAGGGCAGCCAAAATAGTCACTACCAACACTGTCCCATCCTTGACAAGTAGCTTTGGCTCAAACAAGAGTGCATGTTCCATTAAGTTTTAAAGTATTCGGCAGAGAAAGTTGTTTGTTATCTACGCTCTTAAAATTCATAACTGGCAGCTAATACCCCTAATATTAGTTTTAGTCTAAGACAGCACCCAGGCCAACTTTTAGACAGAGGGCAGTGGAGATCAGATTCAACTCCAGAAAAATACAGAAACAAATGGAAATACACACTGTAGAGAATAGCTGAACTACTACATAGCCCTGGCTGCAGTTCACTGTTGGGAGTTAAATTCTCTGGCTGATCATACACTCAAGTTTTCCCTCCGATGTTCTGAAATTACGTATTTGCTATGAAAATATTACGTCTGATACCTGTACCTAAAGCTTAAAATCACATATTACTTCGGTAGGACATCATAAAACTGAAATATATTTAAGAGCAAAAATCCATCAAAGATTCACACGTACAAGGAAAAGCCTGGTTTTTGCTTTCAGATGTCTGTTAAATACAAGCAAAATGATACATTTATTTCAGTAACACTGTGTTTTGAGCAGGGGTTTGTTTTCTTTTTGGTTTGTTTGGGTTTCTTTATGGGTATTTTGTTGTGTGGGTTTTGTTTTGGGTTTTTTTAGGCTTTTTGTTTGGGTTTTGGTTTGGTTTTTGTGTTTTTTTTTTTTTAAATCAGGGTCAAGCAAGAGCAAAGAAACAGCATACCAACTTCAGTAGCTCCATAGCATCATGGAACTAAACCAAAAATAAATCTCATGTGGCAGTTTCTATAATTACCATTCATTTTTATTACACGTCAATCTTTAGAGTCATGCAGTAAACAAAAACACACAAATGTGTTCAGTTACATGTTCTAAATATTTTTTTTTATTTGATCTTCAAGTAAAATTGTGGACCTACTGTGCTGCTGTCTGGTACGCTATTTTTCCTGTGTAACTGCACAAAACCATCAAACATAAATGCCAAGAACTAAAATCATGTACCAGATCAATCCACTATTTAAAGTGTAGGTTTTGTCAAATACTGCCGGTTTATCAGGTGAAGAGAAATAAAATTATGCTCTTTAATAAATACAGTTTATGCTTTTCTCCTGCAAAGGATACATCTGTAATAGAGCAGTATTGGCAAAATATGATTTATAG